AGCAGCGGGGGCACCTGGGGTGCTGCGGGGTTGGTCCCCGCAACGCTGAGGTGCAGCGCTGCGGAGACCTACCCGGCAGCGCCCCGGCTGCTCTGTCCCAGGCGTCCAGATTCAGCTGCTGTTGAAACTGATCAGCGGCTGATTCCAGGAATCCCGGGGCAGAGAAAGTCTGCCTCGGGCTTCCTGTAGTCAGCCACTGGTCAGTTTCAGCAGCGGCTGAATCTGGATGCCAGTTCCGACTTAAGTACAAATTCGACGTAAGTACAAACCTACAGTCCCTATCTTGTACGTAACCCGGGGACTGCCTGTACTGGAAGTCATGACTAATTGAATTCATTGGTAATTTCACGTATTTAAAACCCTTATTATGAAATAAAATGGTTATTAGTCTGTTTTGTAACTGTTGTTGTTCTTCAAGTTGTGTTGCAGATATCCATTCCACTTCGGATTTTTCCTTCTGCTGCTTAGCTGCCACAGATTCCTCAGTTTCTTCTTACTGGATGGATTCCAATATAGAGGAAAAGGAAGATGGGTCATGGAATGGACAACTCAAAGCACAGTTACAAAACAAGTTAGTAACCATTTATTCTGTGAGTGATAGCACATTCATTCCACACCATGTGATTCACCAGCACTTTGACCTGCAGGTCAGGTTGGAGTCTAAACATGAATAATGACTGAAGGACCACACATCCAAATCTGGCATCCTTTGTAGGTTGCAGCTCTGTAGATTGCTGAGTCACAGCATGAGCGCCAAATATATGTACTGAAGAACAAGTTGCAGCTCTTCATGTTCAGAATATATGTATATGGTCTAGAAAGGCTGCCTGTGATTTGTTGAATCCTATTTGGCAGTGTTACAGTAATCATGTCCTAACATAAATGGATATAGGAAGGAACCGAGGACAAAATTATTTGAGAACAAACCACATGGCTCTTCATTCTTTTTCCAGCTGCCACAAACAACTGTGAGAAGAACCTAAACAGTTTAAGCCTGCCCTAGAAAAACATTAACACCCTCCACTTCCCTCTTGTGAGCACACTGGTAAATATATTGCCTGATTGATGTAGATGTAAGAAACGCCTTTGGTAAAAAATTTTGGATGGTGGCATAGGTATATCTTGTCCTTGCAAAAAAACTATATAGAGGCTCAGACACCAAACCAGAACCCTTAACTCACCCATTCTGCTGACTGAGGTCTCTGCTATCAAAAAAGTTACTTTCAGTGAGACCTGGAGCAATGTGCAGGTAGCTAGCAGTTCAAAGGGTGGACCCATTCCATGTTCAACACCCTAGGAGGAAGAGGATTGTCTCTACTTGGAAATATTATCTGTTCAAACCCTTCAGAAACCTGAGCAACTTGGAATTGGAGATTGGAAAGCCAAGACAGCTGCTAGGTGATCCACAGTAGAACAAATAGCAAAGCCTTACTGTTATATTTATAAAAAATAGTCTAATACATGTTCATAGCAGCTCAGACTGTTGAAATGCCTTTCTGTTGGGATCAAACAGAGAACCCCTTCCACTTTATCAGGAAAATATACCTAGCAGAAGATTTTGTATTAAGAGGACATTTTGTACCTCCTTGAACATATTTGTAGAGTACTGCAAACCCACAGATATCTGTAGCTCATTTTTGCACATACAGATGTGGATGCAGATACAAATTTTGTATCTGTGCAGGGCTCTACATATTTCCTCTTGAGATGTTAACTATGGACTATCCAGGCTGTGAAGTGAAGGCCTCTATGTTGTCACAACTTAAGCACATTACTAAAAGACACAGAATTGGTCAGAGACCTCTTTTTAACACAACTAACATTCATTCCTGGGGGGAAGAGGAGGTTACTGACCTCAATAGTAACTGATGTTCTTCAAGATGAGGGTCCCCGTGGGTGCTCCACATTAGGTTGGTGTGCTGCCGGCGGGTCTCAGTGGAGCTTTGATAGCAATGCCCTGGGGCCGCGCATGCGCGCACCAGCAGCTGCATGCTGATAGGCTGCAGGCATCGCGCATGAATGAGTTCCCCCTTCCTACTCCTCAGTTCCTTCTCTACCCTAGAATGATGCCTTGATGAGGCTAGGATCCCACAGTAGAGGGGAGGAAAGGAGGACACTCATCTTGAAGAACGTCAGTTACTATCGAGGTGAGTAACCTCCTCTTCTTCTTCAAGAGATTTCCCAAGGGGTGCTCCACATTAGGTAACTACAAAGCTAAGGACTTTGGATCTGGCAGAAAAGCAGTGGAAAGAACCGCCTTAGCTAGTTTCAGGTTGGAAAGAAGTTCCCACATAAGTGTGTAGTGCTTTCCCGATGTGTGGTTGGAGGACCCACGCAGCAGCTGTGCAGATGTCTCTTATGGGTACTTTGCAGAGGAATGCTCTTGAGGTAGTTATGGTTCTGGTTGAGTGTGCCCTTATGTCGTCTGGAGGTGGCATGTCTGACTGTGCATTAGGGAAGTAATAGTGTAGTCGATTAACTGATAAGCAAAAGTTTATAGGTTAATGCTATAGAGTACATGCATTTCCTCCCCGCCCCCTCTCCCCAGTAAATTTTTTAGCAGGCTGGGCCAGCAACCTGGCTCAGTCCTGGCTTGCAATGGGTCCGGGACCTACTCCTGCTGCAGCTCTGCACTTAAAGTGTATTAGGAACTAAGCTGGCACCCAGCTCAGTTCCAGGATCTCAGACCTCTCCCTCCCCAGACAGGGGCTGCTGCCACCCAACACTGCTGCATCTAGATCAGAGGCAGCAGCATGGGGCAACAGGCAGCTGGTCTGCAAGGGGAGCTGGTTTTTAAACTGGATCCCCTTGTAGGCGAGTTCCTGCCTGGCACCCCACACTGATGCCTCTGACACAGAGGCAGCAGCACAGAGTGGCAGGGGGCTCCTCAGAAGTAGAGCTGGAGCGCGCTGGCTGCTGTCTCCACCTCTGGGTACTACAGAATAGTTGACTAACCAATAAGAATTCATGAGGTGACTTGACAATTCGATTAACCAATATTTAACATCCCTACTGTGCATAAGAAAGCTTGATGCAATCCGAGATCCAGTGGGAGAGTCTCTGTGATGAGACGTCCTGGCCCTTATTGTGGTTTGCTATTGATACAAATAGTCTGGGAGACACCCAGAAAGGTTTAGTTGGCTGCAGGTAAAAAGAGAACATTCTGCGCAGGTCCTGAGTGTGCATTTTCATCTTGAAACAGTTGGCATGTGATTTGGGGAAGATGGGAAAGTGTATTGTCCAACTGAGGTGGAAGAATGGGTGTACCTTGGGGAGGAATATGAGATGGGTACGTAAAGTGACTTTATCTTTAAAAAAGGTGGTGTATGGGTTGCGATTCGAAAAGGTGGTGTATGGGTTACCATTCGGGCTGCGATCTCTCCTACCCGTCTCACCGAGGTAATGGCTACAAGAATAACAGTTTTCATGGATAAGTGTAATAATAAGGTGGTGGCCATTGGTTCAAAAGGCGACCAAGTTAGAGCATTCAATACTAAATGCAGGTCCCACGGTTGTATTGGTGGATTGGTATCTGCTGAGTGCATCTGCCATTGTATTCAGGGTGCCTGGAAGGTGCACTGCAATTATAATTATGTTGCATTTCCAAAGTGCTATGGCCTCTGTGCAAAGTGCTTGAGACGAGTGCTTGACGATTTATGCTCGAGACGAGTGCCTGATGATTTATGTAAAACATTGCTGCGACATTGTTTATGTAGTCTGACATGGCTGTTGGCAATGAAGGGGAGGAATTTGATGTACGCATTCCCGACTGCACGCAGTTCCAGGACGTTTATGTGCAAGTTCTTATCACTGTCACAGGCCCTGGTAGGTGTGATGCCATAAGTGAGCGCCCCA